GTGGTGCAGTTATCATGTCTAATAAAACAGTCATCTGTGAAATGTTTTGAAACAAATATGATCATTTTGTTTCGGACGCCAATTCACAATATTTATGCTTTTAAACCATTATTTTAATCTAGGTTCAATAGGAAACCTGTTAATTAATAAACATTTGATAATCGTCTGTTGTTGGCGACTTTGTTAACAGATATGGGTAGGAAAGAACATCGGTAAGTATTATAGACAAGGAACTCGACAACCCTATTGAATTTTATTGTTTATCAAAACTCAGTAATATACAGCCAAAGATGTTGATATATATGATATTAAGATTAGTAACAAATTTTTAATATATTATCAAATAGTTTTAATTTATTTAATATTTGCTGCAAATTCACTTACTTGTGAAATGTTATACCACTTCCCTTTTGGTAACGAGTTTTACAGATTACGCACATTCTCATTATTAAAATAAAAATAAATCTTATTATGTAACTAATATTATACACAATCAAACAACATAAAATACTTTCGTTTTTTAGTTTAAAAGTTCAAAATACAGATTTATTAAATGAGACAATTTAAATATGTCAACAGACTTTAGCATATTATGTCAATTTTATTTTTCAAGACATCCTTTAGCGGCGCTTCAAATTGGCACAGTCATTTTCTATGGTATAGCCAGTCCAGCGTACTTGTATATATAGAGGTCAGTGGTTGTAGTGCACGAGTGTATGCGCAAACACTGGTGCACTCGCTACTTCCTCACACTCATAGTCCGATGGGACGGTAAACCGATACGACCGGAGTGCGATTAGGCGCAGGACCAACGGGTTTACATGTTTTCCGAGGCATGGGGGTAAGACACCAACAACTGGCTGACTCCGGGCAGCTACTGAGAATTTCTTGACGGAAAAACTCAATAATTGATCTTTTTAGCTCGATCCGGGATTCGAACCCAGGACCTCATGATCAGCATTCCCACTACTACAACCACTAGACCAACGAGGCAGTCAACAGTATATATAATGTAACGACAAAGTCGAATTTTTCCCTTCACTTGTGCTGTGTAAGCTTGTTTTTTTTTTTCAAAATACATGATTCTAAGTATACAGAAGTACCCTATTTTTTACACCTCTCTGAGACCGTCGACCCTAGTATACAAAATACCTAATGACAACTTATTGTTCCTGAGAAAAGGGTCTTGTCAGACGGAAGGATAGTAAAGTGTAGTCATCCGGGACATCATCGGAATAGTGTCGGAGAAGACTTGCTCTTGAATCGTCACTCACACTTGCGTGTGGCTCCGACGATGACGTGTACAGCTGCCCGTAGAACCTCTCAATCTCACTCAAAATCTTAGGTGTCACGGAAACGATGCTGCCACACTCGGTCTTTAGCTTTGACAGTTGGCTCTTTCTGGCTGACAGATCTCTGGCAAAGACTTTGGAGTCCAGGTTTCAATCGCTTCGCTTCTTCAATACGAGCAGTATTAAAGTTGCGTAAGTCCCGCCGCATGCATTTGGAGATCTGTCTGTTCAGTTTCATGTATGCTGTCAAATCTGATGAAGACCATAAGAGTTCCTTTTTTATTCATAATACATGCTATAAAAATGCGATAAAACAAACCAAATAGGCAGAAGTATCTTCCTACTAACACTAAAACCAACTCCAAAGCGTGGCAACCATGGCAAATATCCTCCCTGCGATGCAATGTACTGTGTGATTTTTTACCGTAAAAGCCTTTGGCACTGATATTTTACAAAAAATAAAAACAAAAATTTTGAATTAAATAGTTGAATATTTTTTTTTCTTATATTAACGTGAACACTACACATTATATCAAACTAATTTTATCGCGTTTAATTTTTAATTCTAGACGTTTCGGATGCTTTACAGCACCCATGATCACGGGGGGGGGGGTTGACGTCCCGATGTCATAGTTAGGCCGGCTACCTTCAGTTTTTGAATTAAATAGAATTAAATTTTTGAATTAAATATATATCTACGCTACTTTACGAAAGGCAATAAAACAATAAATTCAGTAGGCATCTCTGAAGTTGTCACTTCGCAGGATCACAGGCTAGGGTGGATATGATAATGCACAAATTTTGTACAGTTAAAGTTCTTTACATACTGATTGCTTGGTATGATGTCTTTATAGGACCGTTAAAGTTCACTGCTGGGTAATCTCCTTAATGACTTGTTAGATGGTCAGACGATCGCTTCATGCAACTTCGACGCTGCTCCCAGTCTGTCAGGCGTAAATTACATAGTTATATCAATTTTTAAGTGGTAGAGTCACGCTGCAGCTGCATTATGGTTGAAGCACGAATGGGTCACCTCGACCAGAGAAGGACCACACTCTCACGGAACACCAGCGACAAATAGCAGCTTAATACTGCTGTGTTTCGTATGGTGAGTATGGAGGTCCGGGGATCCTTTTTACTGGAAACGAGGCATTCCATCTTAGACTTTGTCATCCTTATTCTATAAAAAAATGTAATTATTAAGTTTAGGTGTACATGAATTATAGTTATATTGGTTGCGTATTGAATTCAAGTTAGATTTTATTTGAAAATAGTTTATATTCTGTTTGATAAAAATTGAAATTTCTAAAATGTAAATATTAGTAAGAGTGGGATAAACTTTTTATTTGAATACGTTTCTTAGAGTTTAATCAGTACTTTGTATTGTAAATGATCCGCAGACATTAATTTTGCAGAATTAATTAATGTTGAGTTCACGTTTGTACAATTATCCCAGAAAATTAAACTATATAATAGACAGCATACCTGGCCGATATATACAGCTCTTGCTACATTTTTTACAGAATTAAAAAATATGTTTTTATTTTAATACATCAACGTAAGTCGTTTCTGCTAATATGGATAATGCGTAACTGTAGCTAGACATTTTGTTCAATGTGAAATTTCCAGTTTAAGTGACAGTCTATGGTGACTCAAAGAAAATTAATCTTATCAACTATTTCGATTTGGTTGTGTTTATGTGCTAAGTTATTTAAATTTAAAGATTTTGGTCTATTATTTCTGAATTGAATAATTTTTTTTAGATTTACGTTTATATTAATTTGTTTAAGTCATTCAACTGCTATTTTAAGGTGTTATTTATATTATCGGGTATAAAGATAGTTGTATCATCAGCGAAAATAACACATCTATTGTCAGTGACATTCGGCATGTCATTCACATAAATTAAGATCAAAGGGTCCAAAATACTCCCTTGTGGTAAACCTAGTGTCATTTTAACCGACTTGGACTGTACTTCTTCGACAGACAGCACTACGTAAAAAACCTGGGAAAACACCTGGAGTTCTAAGATTTATTATAAGAAGATAAAAGTTGTAAAAATATTTGAAAAATATAAGTGACAATGCGGTGCTAACATCGTATAATAGGAAATAAAAAAATACTTTTAACAATCTCACTACGAACGAGAACATAGTTCTAGCATTGGAAACGTTAAAGAAACAACCACAAGCACGCAAACACGTACGCACGCTCGTACTTGAACATGATTCAAAATATTCAGGATCATGTAAATAGTTTTCAATTTCAGAGCATTCCACTTGCTGCCTCAGCTAGCATTGGAATTCTCGGCGTCGATATATCGAATGATGTGCAGTTTCGTGGTCACTTGACACAATATTTTCTGGCGGCACACCGCTTGCAACTATTATACAAGGCGCAAGTTCGGCCTCATATTAAATACTGTTGTCATCTCTGACCTTGGGCACCCCAATGCCAGCTCCTTCCACTTACCGCATCCAGCGCAAAGCGGCTCGAATCGTCGACGACCGAGTTCCTTAAGATCGGCTCGATTCACTGGCGATGTTAAGGGATGTTGCAGCCCTTTTCATTTTCTATCGCATCCACCACGGTGACTGTTCTAAGAAATTGTTTGTATTGATTCCAGCCAGCCAAATTTCACGAACGTACAATGCGACAAAACTCACGATACGATTTACACCATTTGGATGATTGGCGGTCCACCACTGTACGTTTTACTTGCAGTTTTCTTCCTCACACCTCTTTGCAGAAGCGATTACCACCGGCGAGTTTTCCGCACCAATACCACTAATGGTCCCCACACCCGGTTATTTAAAATGATCAGTTGAACTGACGTACATCCAAAAACTGACCGTGAGTGTGGAATCTTAAGTTGAAATTTTCAACTGACGACAATCCACGGATTTTTTCGAGCGTACTGTCAGTTGTTTGATACCGTCTTTCACTTTTGGATCGAACCACAGACTACTAAGAGCAACAATACACCTAAATTCAACAAAGAAAAGTAGGAGCAATTTCTCAAATAGATCCACTAAGCTAAAAACTCTAGTGGAGCAGGAATTGTACCTTACAAACCTCCACCGCTTTATACCAGAACTTATAAAGAATCAAAACAACTACAATGCGGAGGAATACTATCAACAAATCATGTAACTATATCAAGATAAGTTTAAAAAATATAAAAGGAACACATAAGAACAAAATCCTATCCGCGAAAGCGCTAGAGAACTCATGAAAGAAAGAAGCGAACTACAAAATAGGCCCCAATTAAGCGTAGCTGATAAAGAAAAACTAAAAACTTTGTACAAACTTACCAACAAAGAAATAAAAAGGTGCTACGTTACCTACAGAACAACAACTATACAAAGAGACAACAAAGTGCCACATCAATGGATGACATCGGAAATTATACTACTATATAAAAAAGGTGATCCAGCTGATAAAGGCAACTATCGTCCTATAAGCCTAATGCCTTGTTTTTATATAATTTTTGTCTCCTGTCTTCTTGAAAGGATAGCCCCAGCCACCCATTGATGCTCACCAACCGATCTAACAAGCCGGTTTCAGAAGCGATTTCATCATAAGCGGTTAGCGTAAAGCGGTTTGGATCATATCCAATTGGTTGACCAGATGATAGAAAAATATTCAGAATTTATTAAACCCCTGTATTTAGCTTTCATAGACTACAAAAAAGCTTTTGATTCAATTTCACATGAGAGCATCTGGGAATCGCTGAAAGCAATAAACATAAATAGAAAGTATATCAATATCCTAAAAAAATATTTATTCCAACAGCACAAGTAGAGACAAACTAGATAGAGGAGGCGAAGAAATCAACATAAAGAGAGGTGTCCGGCAAAGAGACCCGATCTCACCAAAATTATTCATAGCCGTCTTACAACACGTAATAGGAGAGCTGCCATGGTCCAATCAAGCTATTAATATAAATGTAAATTTTTTAAGTCATCTCAGATTTGCCGATGACATAATTTTATTTTCGGGAACCCCTCACCAAATAAACAAAATGGTAAATGAATGAAACCAGGCTAATATAAAAGCTGGTTTAGAAATAAATCTGGAAAAAACTAAAATTATGTCTAACCGCAGTGCAATGCCCATTTTAACGAATAACACACCTCTCGAGTTTGTTAACCAATACATATACTTAAGAAAACAAATCTCTTTTAGTAAAGAAAAAAAAATACTAAGGAACTTAACCGAAGAGTGGCGATTACCTGGAACAAGTTCTGGCACCATAAGGAAATACTAAAATCGCAACTTCCGCTACCGACTAAGAAAATAGTCATGGATACTGGTCTTCTAACGTGCCTCGCCTATGGATGCCAAACTTGGACTTTCGATCTCAAAACCAGGAACAAAATTCAGACTACCCAGAGAAGAATGAAAAGAAGTTCCCTAGGTATAAAATTGACGGATAAGGTAAAGAACGTTGACATTCGAAAGAAGACAAAAGTATGCGATACCTTAACTTTTGGAAACATAATGGAAATGGGCGGTTTACGTAGCCCGTTACAAGGACGATAGATGGACTCTACGGTCAGTAAAGTGGTCTGGGCCAAAGGCACCAGATCAAGAGGTCGACCAAAGGCTAGATTTAACAGTGGTAGAGCCACGCGGCAGCTTTGCTGTTGCACGTATGGGCCGGCTCAAACCGGGGTGGTACCACGACCTCACAGAATACCGGCGTGAAGTGGAAGCTCTGCTTCCGCGTTTCGTCTGGTGAGTGCAGGTGGCCGGAGGCCCAAATCCCCCCCCCCATCAACATGGCAGCGGAATTAAATAATGATCGACTACCCCAGGAGGGTACCAGCACCCCAGGAGAATCCCTCGCTGAGCATCCACGACCATGTTTCTTCACTTCTGAGCGTGGGTGCTCAGGCTGCCCCGCGTATTCTGGGGGGAGGGGGGGCAATATTCCGCTCAAGACTACAACTGCTCGGGGCAAACGGAGCAACAAGACCAAGGCGACCCCTGCCACGCTGTCCGTGAATTTCTGCAATATCAGGGGACTTCACTCTAACCTAAACGCCGTCCACTACCATCTTAAATCATACCGAACCATTATTCTTGTAGGAGACATTAATATAGATATTGCTAATGGGTTTCATTCTACAAATACTTTAGATTATCTTGATCTACTTGTTCATCACGGACTTCTTCCCGGTCACAACTTCCCAACTCATGGTTCTACCAGTCTTGATCACGTTAATTTAAAAACTGCTTTTTCCGCTAAGGTTCTAGTTCTGGAAACTACTGTAACAGACCACTTTGCCGTTATGTTTGCCCTCTCAAAAATTAAAATGAAATTATGTAATCGTAAATTTATAAAAAAAATAAATGAAGATAAGCTTATTCATGAATTACGCTGTATTAACTTTAACTCCGTATACACAACGAATGACCCTAACTTAGCTGTTAAATTCTTGGTCGAACCTATTATTTCAGCTATAGCCAACAATACCAAAACTTTACTTCTGTCTTGTAGACGTAGACCTATTAAGCCTTGGATCACTCTGGCTTTGTTGAAATGCATGCGAAACAGAGATAGATTATATAAAAAATCGAAAAAAGACCCATCAAATCAGATTCTTAGAATTACTTATAAAAGATATCGCAACTTCTGTACCAACCTCCTGCGAAATGCAAAAAGTAATTATGAGAAGCTAGAATTTCAAAGAGCAGGCAAGAACTCCAAGCAACTGTGGAAAGTCATTCAAACTGTTACAAATTTATCTAAACAGCAATCAACGGCGTCTGATCTCCTAGACATCAACGAAATTAATACTCAAAAATCTGTTGAGGATATAAACACATATTTTTCAAATATAGGAAAATCACTAGCAGACAAATTAGAAAGAGGCTCGGCAATATTACCGGCATCCGTTACTTATTCCAAATCCTTTGTTTTGCTTGAAACTGACGAGAGTGAAGTCGAACGTTTGATTATGTCTTTGGATAATAACCGAACAGCTGGTTGGGATGGTATTTCTTCAGAATTCTTAAAGAAGCACAAAAATTTTATTATTTCACCTCTTACATATATTTGCAATTTGAGTCTCCAGACAGGTATTTTCCCTGATCTGTTTAAAAAGGCAATAGTTCACCCTATTTTTAAATCCGGCGACCGAAATGGTATCGAAAACTACAGACCTATATCAGTTTTGCCTACGATGTCGAAGATCCTCGAGAAAATAATTAACACAAGGCTTGTTAATTATTTAGCGACTAATAAACTGCTCTCTAAAAATCAATTTGGTTTTCGAAAAAAGTTGTGCACATGTGATGCTGTCCACAGCCTTATTGATTTTGTAATCAGGAATCTAGATATACGTCAAAAATGTATTGCCTTGTTTCTTGACCTTACAAAGGCGTTTGATACTGTTTCGATACCCATCCTAATTTCAAAACTTCAATCTTTAGGAGTAAGAGGAATTCAGTTATCTTTATTCAAAAGTTATTTAAGTAATAGAACTCAATGTGTTAGGATTGGTCCTTATAGTAGTTCTGACCTGCAAATTACATACGGTGCACCGCAGGGAAGTATTCTCGGCCCAAGTTTGTTTTTAGTATATATAAATGACCTGTGTAACATCAATCTTTTAAACGGGATGATCTTTTCCTACGCAGATGACACAGCACTTGTGTTTCATTCGAATACTTGGATTGAAACATATTCCCTTGCTCAAAAAAGGGTTTGACGTTGTAAATAAATGGTTAAACGCGCATTTACTTACGTTGAACATAGATAAAACAAAATTAATAGACTTTTCTATTCGAAACACAAAAAATTCAACAACAAACTCATTACAAATCGTTGTTAAGCCTCCCCTTGATATAAGAAATAGTACAGACAATAACGACCTACACTATATAAAAAAAGTGACATCTATAAAATATCTCGGAATTATAATTGATAATAACCTCACATTTAAAGCTTACATTGAACACCTGTCAAACAGAGTCCGTAAACTTATTTACATTTTTAAACAATTACGTCAATCTGCAGATTCAGAAATCATGAAGATGGTTTATATGGCATTGTGTCAATCTATTTTATCTTATTGCATATCCACGTGGGGTGGTGCGGCTAAAAGTAATTTTATACAAATTGAAGGGGCACAGAGAGCAGTTTTAAAAGTATGTTGTTTCAAACCACGTATGTTTCCTACAGACCAACTTTACGACTATTGCCAAGTACTAACAGTTAGACAATTATTCATTTTAACCACCGCTCTCAAACAACATGCCTCAACCAAATATATCCCTGAATGGACACGACGTAACCAACTAGTTGCAAAGTCTACTCAAGTTAAAACTGCATTTAGTCATAGATTCTTTATATTCCTTGGCCCCTATTTATATAATAAATTGCATAAAACCTTATCCCTCTTTTCCCGAAATCAATATGAGTGCAAAAATATTATTCTCCAGTGGCTCCTTAAGCAAACCTATGCAAAAACAGAAAGTCTTTTAGAGGTTGTCGTGTAAAATACACACACACACACACACACACACACTTTTCTAAGTTTTCTTAACCATAACCAATTATCTCAATTAGGTATGACAAAAAAGTAAATAGAGTTAAACTTTATGTGTTAATGTTTTAGATATAATAGCATTCCTCGCAGAGGTGGGGACCTGGTGACCTGTAATACGGGTATCTTACCCACCATAGGCACCAGCGATCCACGGGCAAAGTTGTTTTGTACTACTTATAGGCTACTTATAACTCTAAATGTAACTTTGTTTTGTGGTGAGAAATAAACGTTATTATTATTATTATTATTTAGGGGTATCTATATAGTTTTCTCATCTGGTTGGGTGCTATAAATATATAATTATAAATGAAAATGAAAAGACAAATATACATAAATATCAATAACATAAAATAAATATAAAAGTACATAAATAAATAAAAGCCCAACCAGATGGAGGCCCTCGGCAGGGGAGACCAAACGGCCGAGGGTTAGGGGGAAAGGGAAAGAAACCGGCGGACGATGCGGGCGGTATCGAGGAGCACCGCCTTCTGCATTTGAACCTGGAGCGGTCCGCCACGTAGTCCCAGCCGCCTCAGATGACCCGAGAGGCTGACTGGGATTAGCCCGTTTGCAGAGACGACTACAGGAATAATTTCGGTCGGCAGACCACCCCACATGTCGGTTACCTCGTGAGCCAGGTCCAGATATTTTGTTTGCTTGTCTGTTTCGGCTTTCACGAGGTTCTCGTCATACGGAATGGTAATGTCGACCAAAAATATCCTTGACTGTGCCCGGTCCATCAGCACAATATCAGGCTTATTCGCAAGAATAGTCCTGTCTGTGATGATGGCCCGGTCCCAATAGAGCCTGGCGCGATCATTTTCGAGCACGGCTTCCGGCAAGTACTTGTAATACGGCAATTTCCGATCCACGAGACCGTATTTCAGAGCGAGCTCCTGGTGTAGAATTCTGGCTACTAGGTTGTGCCTGTGCAAGTACTCAGAGTTAGAAAGCGCCGAACAACCGGAGATAACATGCCTAAGTGACTCACCGGGATGGCGACAAGCTCGACAGATGTCGACGGTGCCATCCTTTAGGATGTATCTCCGATAGTTGTTGGTCTTAATAACCTGATCCTGTATTGCACAGACAAAACCCTCGGTTTCCCCCGAAGAGATCACCAAAGCGTAGCCAGTGGAGGGAGGCTACTGTGTCTACGAAAGGCTCATGTAGAGCCTTGTAGAACCTCCCGTGGAGCTCCTTCTCCTTCCATACGGTCTCCCGGTCGGAAATGCTCTGCACTGCCGGGTCTTGCCATTGCTCGTTGGCTAAGGATAGAGGGGTAAGTCCTTTATCACAAGAAATGACGTCCTTATAGAATGGATCATCCGATCTCGCCAGGAAGTAATCACGGAGGCTGCACACTTCGCGATTATGCATGGTGAGCGCGCTCAAGAAGCCACGACCACCATGCTTCCGCGGCAAGTACAGCCTCATTACCGACGATCTCGGATGATGCATCCTATGGGACGTCATTGTAGTGCGGACTTTTCTATCCAGGGCGTTAAGTTCAGTCTGAGTCCACCTGAGTATGCCAAAGGTATACATGAGGACAGGCATGACCCAGCCGTTATATGCGTGTGCCTTATTCACACCGGACAAAAGGCTATTAAGCACTTTGGTCAAGCGTGCATAAAACACGTCGCAAACTGACTGTTTCATACCAGTCTCATCGATACCGATGTTTTGTGACATACCCAGGTATCGGTATGTTTCAGCCTCGGAAAGGGTCCTTAAGTTGACGGGCATAGATAAGTCTACGCCCTCAGAGTTAGCAACCCTTCCCCTTTCAACATGGAGGACCGCACACTTATCCGTCCCCAGCTCCATTCCAATGGAATTGCTAAATTCACAAGTGATGTTTAGCAATTCCATAAGATGGGAGCGACTGGAGGCGAATAACTTGAGGTCATCCATATAGAAAAGGTGGGTCACTTTTGTCCCTCCTTTCCGTAGCTGAAATCCCCTCCCGGAGCCCTCTAGTAAGGTACTGAGAGGGTTCAGAGAGAGGCAGAACCAGATTGGACTCAGACAATCGCCCTGGAAGATACCCCTTCTTATCCTTATGTGGTTCTCCGCAGCCATCATCCGCTCGCCTAGATGACAAAGGATCGTACTCCACTGCCCCATACACTGCTCGAGGAAGTCTCTAACTGTACAGTCTATCTTGTACAGCTCGAGGACTCTCTTTAGCCATGTATGGGGCACCGAGTCGAATGCCTTTCTGTAGTCTATCCAGGCGGCGGAGAAGTTCCGACGGTTGCGTTTCACCACTTTGCCAATGACCGCGTCAATGAGGAGTGGTTCCTTGGTTCCACGACCACCGCCCCGACATCCATTTTGAGCGCGCGACATCACCTGATTTGAGTCCAGGTGACAAGTGATTCTCGCGCTCAAAATGGATGTTAGTGTCTTGTATATGGTCGGTAGACACGTGATGGGGCGGTATTTGCTCGGGTCTGTGGTACCCTGGTCTTTAGGAACTAAATGAGTGATCCCAGTAGTGAAGAGGCTTGGGAGCGACTTCTGGTTGAGAGCCTCTTGAAACTGTCGGGCGAGCACAGAGTGACACACCATGAACCCCTTCAGCCAGTAGTGATGCAGCCCGTCAAGCCCCGGACTTTTCCAGTTCGGGGCCCTACGAACCGCCTCAGCTACGTCATCCGACGTTATGATGACGGGGTCCATGGGCGTAATACCCGCACACTGACTCGCCACAACTTCCGTCCAAGGGCCCTCGCTGTGGTTTACGGGCTCTGACCACAGGCCGCGCCAGAATGCTACAGTGTCGGCCTGATTCGGTGCTGGACCCGTTCCACTTACCATTGGTCGCTCCAATGATTCATAGAGCCTCTTCTGATCACTCTGGAAGAGACGATTCTGGTTGAACCGTGTCGACCTCTCGGTATATCGCCGAATCCGCTTTCCCCAAGCAGCGATTCTCTGCTTCAGATCATCTATGCGCTCCGTCAGTTTTTGCGTTATATCCGGCTGGGACAAACTGACATTTGTCCCAGCAAACGCCATCCTGACGGTGCGCACAATTCTTGGCCTGTTGTTGCCTGATCTGAAGCATATCAGTCTGCCAATGAGAGCTCTAGCCTTTGCGATACGTTCCTCAATTCTTCTTCTCCATGCTGGGATAGCGCTACTATGGCCAGTAGCGCGTCCAGCCGTGGAAACCTTGGCGCCTATGATACGGCAGACTGCCAGCGCGGCGCCAAAAAGAATTGAGTCCGTCTCGCAAAGGTCCCGGCTGGCTTCCAAATAGGTAACCAGCATTGGGTTTTATTATTATTTTTATTATTATTATTATTATCTCGAGACGGCGAAGCCGGCTCTGCTCTTTCTGACCGAGACGCAGGTGTCCTCTCCGGCTGATGTCTCGTATCTCTCCTACCCGGGGTACAAACTGGAACACTCCTTTGTGCCTCGGGCTGGAGTTTGCGTTTACGTCAGAGAGGACATCTGCTCTCGACGCCTCGGCAGACTTGAAGGTTCGGACCTGTCCATCCTTTGGCTACGCGTAGACAGCGACGACCATCCGCGCGTCTACGGGTGCCTCTATAGGTCCCATAGCGGTAATGCCGAAAAAGACCGACTATTCGACCACGTCCAAATGGCTGCAGATTCATTGCTACAGCAGATCCCCTCCGCAGAGATCGTGATCCTCGGTGACTTTAACGCCCATCACGCCTAATGGCTTGGTTCACGTTTAACCGATCATGCGGGGAGATCTGTTCATGATTTTGCCTTGGCATATGGTCTGAGACAAATGGTTACTTCGCCTACGCGGATTCCAGATGTGGAGGATCATGCACCTTCCCTGTTGGACCTTCTGCTGACCTCTCACCCGGACGGATATCAGATTTCCGTCGACGCCCCCTTAGGCTCCTCGGACCATTGTCTGGTCCGGAGTGTGGTGCCACTCACGCTTAAATCGCGGTTGCATTCTGCAGGCTGCCGCCGTGTTTGGCACTATAGGTCAGCCGATTGGGATGGGATGCGGTCTTTCTTTGCATCCTACCCTTGGGGGCGAGTTTGCTTCTCGCCGGATGATCCCAACGTTGTTGCAGATTCTGTTGCCGATGTGGTACTTCAGGGTATGGAACTTTTCATTCCTTCCTCTGTGGTGCCCATTGGAGGCAAGTCTCAGCCATGGTTTGGTCGCTCCCGTAAAATAGCATCATGCTATAAGCAGGAGTGCTACCAAGCCTGGGCTGAGGCATCAGCGTCCCGGGATGTAAACACCAGCGCTCTAAATAAGAAGTATAATTCCGCCTCTAGGTCCTTCAAAAGAGTCATTGCCAAGGCAAAGTCAGAGCACATAGGCAGAATTGGCGAGAATATAGTTCGCCTTCCTTCTGGAACCCGTGCATTCTGGTCTCTCGCCAAGGCTGTCCAGGGGAATTTCTGTCAGCCATCTCTTCCATCTCCGCACAGGGAGGACGACTCACTGGCCCATACCGTAAAGGAGAAAGCCGATCTTCTAGGCTCTTTCTTTGCGTCTAACTCGACTCTCGATGACGGGGGGAGTACTTCGCCGACCATCCCGCGGTGTGAGTGCTCCATGCCGGAAGTGCACTTCACACAGCGCTCGGTTCGCAAAGTACTCCTCTCCCTGGACATCCACAAGTCGAGTGGGCCTGACGGAATCCCCCCAATTGTGCTGAGGACGTGTGCTCCAGAGTTGGCACCGGCTTTAACGCGTCTTTTCCGGTACTCCTACTCCCTAGGCGTAGTCCCAAAATCATGGAAGACGGCTTACGTCCACCCGATCCCTAAAAAAGGCGACCGCTCTGACCCGTCCAAATACCGGCCAATCGCCATCACCTCCTTGTTCTCCAAAACAATGGAGTCCATTGTAAACTGCCAGCTCATGAGGTACCTTGAAGATCACCAGCTGATTAGTGACCGCCAATACGGTTTTCGCCGTGGTCGGTCAGCTGGTGATCTTCTGGTCTACCTAACTCACAGATGGGCGGAGGCAGTAGAGTTCAAGGGGGAGGCATTGGCCGTTAGTTTGGACATTGCGAAGGCCTTCGATCGGGTTTGGCACAAAGCGCTTCTTTCGAAGCTCCCTTCCTATGGGCTTCCCGAGAAATTGTGCGATTGGATCACCAGCTTTCTTGCAGATCGGAGTATCAAGGACGTTGTAGACGGTGCAAGCTCCGATTGCAAGCCTATTAATGCTGGTGTTCCACAGGGCTGTGTGCTATCGCCAACGCTGTTTCTTCTGCATATCAATGACATGTTGCATACCCGTAACATTCATTGCTATGCAGATGACAGCACTGGTGATGCTTTTTACACCGGCCGAGCCAATATTTCTCGGGAAAACGTCTCCGAGTGCCGGTACAAACTTGTGTCTGAAGTCGAGTCTCTGCTGGACAGAGTCTCGGATTGGGGGCGACTAAATCTAGTCCAGTTTAACCCCCAGAAGACACAAGTTTGCGCGTTAACCGCTAAAAAGAACGCCTTTGTCGTATCCCCTCAGTTTCAAGGCACTCCCCTTGTTGCCTCAGCCAGTATCGGAATCCTCGGCGTCGACATATCGAGTGACGTGCAGTTTCGTGGTCACTTGGAAGGGAAGGCCAAATTGGCCTCTAAAAAAGCTTGGCGTGCTCAGCAGAGCGGGACAGTATTTCATGCCGGCACACCGCCTGCAACTTTACAAGGCGCGGGTTCGGCCGCACATGGAATACTGTTCCCATCTCTGGGCTGGGGCTCCCCAGTACCAGCTTCTTCCACTTGACCGCATCCAGCGCAGAGCGGCTCGAATTGTCGACGACCGAGTGCTTTCCGATCGGCTCGATTCACTGGCGCTGCGAAGAGATGTTGCATCTCTTTGCGTATTTTATCACATCTATCACGGGGAGTGCTCTGAGGAATTGTTCGGATTAATCCCAGCCGCCAAATTTCGTGAACGCACTACACGTCAAACGTCCAGATACCATCCACACCATCTGGATGCTTGGCGGTCCACCACTGTACGTTTCACAAGGAGTTTTCTTCCGCGTACAACCTCTCTGTGGAGTAGTTTACCACCGGCGATTTTTCCGGACCGATACGACCTGGGGACCTTCAAGAAAAGAGCTTACTCCTTTCTAAAGGGCCGGCAACGCACCCGCAATTCTCCTGGTATTGCGGTTGATCATGGGCGGCGGTAGTCACTTAACATCAGGTGAGCCACATGCTCGTTTGCCCCTTCTTCTATAAAAAAAAAAAAAAAAAAGATGTGCAGATGAAATTGTAGCGTGCGCGGGTGGTAGTTGGTTAGACAGAGCTATTGACAAGGGTGGCATTCCTTGGGGGAGGCTTTTACCCGAACTGGGTCCATGCGTTAAATAATTAGGTAGTTGATAATTAAAGCAAATAATAATTTTAAAAAAATTTTACTAATTACTATATATAAAAAACTAAAATAAGTATACAAATGTAATTGAATGTTATAGGGTAAGTTAAGAAATGTATCGTTTAATATGTACTATGCATGGACTTAAATAAAGCTTTATTATTATTTTTGGGGTATCTATATAATTTTCTCATCTGGTTGGGTTCTATAAATATATAATTTTAAGTTAAAATGAAAAGATAAATATACATAAATATCAATAAAATAAAACAAATACAAAAAATACATAAATAAATAAGATCCACCAACCAAACGGCCGAGGGTTAGGAGGAAAGGGAAAGAAACCGGCGGACGATGCGGACGGTATCGAGGAGCACCGCCTTCTGAATTTGAGCTCGGAGCGGTCCGTCACGGAGTCCCAGTCGCCTCAGATGACCCGAGAGGCTGACTGGGATTAGCCCATTCGCAGAGACGACTACAGGAATAATTTCGGCCGGCAGACCACCCCACATGTCGGTTACCTCGTGAGCCAGGTCCAGATATTTTGTTCGTTTATCTGTTTAGGCTTTCACGAGGTTCTCGTCATACGGAATAGTAATGTCGATCAAAAATATCCTTGACTGTGCCCGGTCCATCAGCACAATATCAGGCTTATTCGCAAGAATAGTCCTGTCTGTGATGATGGCCTGGTTCCAGTAGAGCCTGGCGCGGTCATTTTCGAGCACGGCTTCCGGCAAGTACATGTAATACGGCAATTTCCGGTCCACGAGACCGTATTTCAGAGCGAGCTCCTGGTGTAGAATTCTGGCTACTAGGTTGTGCCTGTGCAAGTACTCAGAGTTAGAAAGCGCCGAACAACCGGAGATGACATGCCTAAGTGACTCACCGGGATGGCGACAAGCTCGACAGACGTCGACGGTGCCATCAACTATAAATAAGACCAACAATAAGACCAACAACTATCGGATGTATCTCCGATAGTTCTTGGTCTTAATAACCTGATCCTGTATTGCACAGACAAAACCCTCGGTTTCACCGAAAAAGGTCACCGAAACGTAGCCAGTTGAGGGAGGCGACTGTATCTACGAAGGGCTCGTGTAGAGCTCTGTAGTACCTCCCGTGGAGCTCCTTCTCCTTCCATACGGTCTCCCGGTCGGAAATGCTTTGTACTGCCGAGTCCTGCCATTGCTCGTTGGCTAAGGATAGAGAGATTAATAAGATAGAGAGATTCGCCGTGTAGTGGCGGTTAAGAATATCCACTACCCCATATCTTCCCGTGGGTGTCGTAAGAGGCGACAGAGGGAGACAGGCAGGAGATGGGCAGCAGCATCTTCCTGATAACAGCAACTGTACGACAAAAAAAACTGCGGTTGCCAACCCGCTCGCCAAGCGTGGCAACTATGGCAATATACCCCCCATTAACAATTACACAAATAGACGGCCCCCAGTCCCCGGCGGCCCCGCTATTCCTGGCTACGGTGGCGACCATGGTAACGGCGGGGCAGGGGGTGCTAAGAATCTCCGGTGGAGGTTCGGTTGCCACCTACGACGACTCGACCTGGCAACATTTAACGCACGCACACTGAGGACTGACGAGAAGATCCTGGAGCTGGAGGAAGAGATAGACAAGTTGCGCTGGAGTATTATAGGATTATCCGAGGTCCGAAGAGAGGGGGAGGACACGGTGATTCTCGAATCCGGCAACTTGTTCTATCACCGGGAGGGCGACCATCTGTCCCAAGGAGGTGTCGGATTTATCGTCCACAAGTCTCTCGTCAACAACGTTGTACAGATTGAGAGTGTGTCGACGAGGGTCGCGTACCTGATACTCAGAATCACCAAACGGTATTCGCTGAAGGTCATACAGGTTTACGCACCAACGTCGGCACATTCCGATGAGGAGGTGGAGGAAATGTATGAGGATATT